TCCCAAAGCTCCCGACTAAAACTGCTGCTTGGGTGAGATCCCAGCCTGGGTCAGAACAACATGCCCGAACATGCACGGGCAGCACCTTTGCACGGTTTGCGCTCCGAGAGGAAGATACCACACATCGGCTCACTGCGTTTCAGAAAAGGATGCCGTTAAAAAAAAAAAAAAAAACAACAGGAGAAATACTCACAGACAAAGGCAATTGGCCCCACGCCTCATATGGGGTTAGAGAAGCTTGCTCAAAACATCTCGCACTTTTTGCAAAGCGGTGGGCGTGTAAAAAAGGGAAAAAAAAAAAGTGGAGGCATGCGACTCAAAAGTGTCTTGGGAAAAGCCAGTGGTCTGCTCACAGATACGGTTTCCTAAATAGCTGGCATGAAATTAAGTGACGTATGATTAGAAGACGATTTTGAAAGCTTCCTGCAAAGTTGCTGTTTTCCTCTGTCGCTGGAATGGCAGCTTAGGGCTGGAGCACAAAGGGAAGACAGCAAGATCCAGAGAAGGGGTTGGCAAATATCCCTGACTAGAGGCTAAGCCCGCTCACCTGCTGTCCTTGCTTGGAGAAAGCACAATAGACAGTTGAGTTGGAAAAGAAGTGAAAGCTGGCAAGGGATTTGCTTCTGAAAGCTGCTGCTTCGACTCTGTGCAATCGCAGGCAGAAGAGGACGCGGCTCGAATGACACGCGGCGAAGGGAAGCGACCAAACGGGAATCTCCCTAAATCCTCCTTCGCCACTCGCTTCAGGTCACAGTTCAAGTGAAAGAACAAAGCTCCACTTAACAGATCCAAGCTTCAAAGCCCTTGACACCGCAAAGAGGGCATCCTCTGGAAACCCTCCTTTCACCAGGAGATCCCCCTCCCTCTCCAGCACTGCACAAACGCCCTTCCACCAGAATTTCTGCCAGATCCGCTCGGTTCTTCTACCTGCCAACCTACCGAAATGCCATCCTCCCCTCCCCTGCAGCCGAGGGAGGGACGCGCTTCCCAAACCAGGGGCTCTTTGGCACAGCCGCCTCGCCGCTGGCCGTCGGCCAACGAGCCACGTCTCCACAGACACAAGCAGCACCGTCACCCATCCTTCCCCAAATCTCTACCACAAGCCGGCAAACCCCCTCCAGCTGCCGGGAAAGGCTGATGTACCCGTGGCTCCTTTGGAGTCGGAGGAATAGCCGCTGGCTAACAAGGTAACCCGCAGCTGGGTAAGCCCAAGAAGGTGAAAGACCCCCCCCAAAAGACGCATGCTGGCTGACAGGGAGGCGATGCTGGTTTAGGGGAGACCACCTCATACGCCCACCACTCCAATACTGATCAGCAAGGGCCGATTCGAGAGCCGGGCGCAGGGGAGCGTGCCACAGGCTCCGCAGTATGTGATGGTGGTAGCAGGAGGGGTCTTTCTGTCCACACGTTATAAATCACTCTTTTTCCTTTAAGATTCAGGCCGTGCAGATTTCCCAAAGATCTGCCGGTCACTAGAGACTGGAGGTAATTCCTCTGCTCTGAATCAGAGGGATTCCCAGAGGGATTTCTGCTGCACGGGCAGCCCCAGCTGACAAACTCCGGCGTACAGCTGGCTGCACTGAGGCCGAAGGGCCGAAGCTTGGGGAAGAGCTGCAACAAGGGGCAGCGCTTCTCCCACCTGCCTTCCCGTTCCCATTAAGAAGTTACTTTTTTGCTTGGGGCTCCACTGGTATAAAACTGAATTACTGAAGGAAAAGGTGCTGTGATTGGTATAACACACTGGAGTCCTTTAGAGCTAACCCTGAATATTTGGATGTCACCTTTGAAGAGGGATGGATCCCAGCCAGTTGCACCATGCAACGTGCCTTCCACAGAATTGGTTGCTAAAGCAGCAGATGCAGGTAGGCAAGAAGTTGAAGAAAACAACAGCAAATTCTGGGAAGAAGACAGTTGTGAAAAGAAAAACCAAACCAACCCTATCTTCAATGAAAGGACCTGCTTTTGAAAGCACAGGCTAACTTAGAATTGTACCAAAGTCAACGACCCAAGTTGCCTGGGACTGTTTTTGTCTCTTTTAATCCCCCCACAGAGGTTTGCCTCTCGTGGAGGAGAGGTCAGCTGTACAGCACAACACTTCGTATATGCACTAGCAGTTAGATTGGTTTCTAAATTAAAAAAAGATGGACTTTTTATATATTGAACATAAATAAAAAAATTACAAAATGGTCACCTTTCTTACAGAATGGATGCAAACTGGATTATGAACGTGCCTCCAGGTGAAGTTGGTTTCTCCCCTGCCCCCACCCCACCCCAATAATAAATAAATAAAATTCATTAAGTTTTGGATCCTTTAGTGGTGCAGATTGGGCGCTCGGACCGTTACTGGGCTTTCTTCCCTGTGCCATTCTTGTCCGCAGAGTTTGTTGAGGTTACCAAGTTCACCGGCCCGTCTGAGTGCATTGAATCTTTGCGCGGCGGCATGCGCTCGTTAATGCGATCCAGCCCTCTGGCTTCTTCGAAGCTGCGGATCTTGTGCTGCGGTGAAAATCCGCGAATGGCTGCAGAGAGAAGGGCCGAGAGAGAACAGTTAGCCCGATCCCCAGGTAGGAGCCCTTCAGCACATGCCAGACATGTACAGGACAGAGTCAGGGCGACAGAAAGCACGTGTCTGGCTACGGGAACCACGAGATGGGTCCATAGGCGATTTTTGGCGTCGCCAGCTCACGTGGGTACCACAGTGCAGCTGGGAAGTTGAACTGCGCTAGGTCACAGCAAAGTCTAGGATCCAGACCGTGGTGACTTGCTGTGCTCCCTGATGGTTTCTCTTTTAATATAGTTTAGTAGCAGGAACTTGCGAAGACCAGACAAGTGCTCAATGTCCCCAAACAGGGAAATCTCAGGAAACTTTCAAAGCTGAAAAACACGATACTAAAAAGAAAATAAAAAAAGGCAAACCCAAACCAACACAACGAAGACACCACCCACAAGGCTTTAACGCCAACACAAACCACACACTGCAACACCAGGAGAGGGAAACAGCTAGTCCTCAGATCACAAACGCAACGCTTCTTGCATGACCAGGAGACACACAGGCAGTCTCACGAGTGACGAAATCCCACCAAGGGCAGACGTAGCTCTGTTTCATCACTACGAGGCTGAGTACATCGTCCTTGCGGTGATGCTATGGACCAAATGTTTAACTTCTTTGTGTTACAGATAACTTAAGAAAAAAAGGGGTTTGTGCCAAATCTTTTTACAAGGACTTGGCTGGTTTGCAAACAAACTTCCCGTGGTAATCAAAAAGTTCTCTACGTGGAGGTACAGCCCCATTCATCAGTAGCTGAATGGAGCTATCGAGGAGAAAACCTCCCCAGACAGTAACCTCACGAATCTGTCATTTCTACACGAACTACGAGGAGAAAACTGCTTCCCCATACTGAGCCCACCTCGGCCCACTTGTGGGGAAGGCAAGGATTACATCAGAGATGCACAATCCGCTCTTTCCTAGGTGATTTTGACCAAGCCTGCTGGCAGCCTTCACCGGATAGAGTTACCCAGAGGATGAACTCAGCCACGAAGTGTCCGAGATCAGATTGCAGGACCCCAACGCCAAGGTCTTGAGACATCAGAGCACAAACCGCTCCGGAGACAGGGCGCTCTCAGAACAAAGGTATTGCACTAAGCAATAGCCTCATTAAGGCTAAAATAGACTTGAACCAGCCCACTGTGTACTTTTTGCTTCCCAGCAGGGGCCCATCCTCCCCCACTTCTGGTGATGCAAGAGTAAAAAGCTTCCATAAGGCTGATAAAGCTCTTTAAAATTAGCGCACGCACACACAGAGATGATTTTGAGTCTCTTGCCGGATTCTAGCCATACCTTCCCGTGCCTCTACCGCTTCTACTGTGGCTGCAATACAGAAGAACAGTGGCATGCAAAAATGAAGACAGAAAAAAAAAAAAAGAGTGACAGTGAGTGATCTAACATCATCGCTGCGAATGCAGAGCCCACAGCCTCCCAGCCCCAGTGGAGACGACCGTAATCAAAACCAACTGGCAAGGGGGAGGGGGGGGAAAAGTGACAGGAGCTCGAGAGGAAGTCTGAAAGGGGACTCGCTCAGGGAGTCTCCTTTCCTCACGTTCACTGGACTCGTCACACAGATAAATCCGATGGAAAGAAACAGAGAAGCAGAGAGATGGCTTTCTGCTGCATGCGCTGGGCTGAGGCGGGCAGGCGTCCCACGGCAAGGACAGTGACAGTCTGGCCTAAGCCACGGGTCTCCACCTGCATTTACAGTCCCCCTGCTCCCAGTCTGCGGCTCTAGGGCACCCTGGCCGCCTTCAGAAGGTGAATTACGTGGAATTCAGCCCAAAGCAAAGCCCCAACCACCAGAGCCATGTAAGGCAAGTGATCCCGAGGGGTGTGCTGACATTTTGGAGCAGTGGGGAAGAGAGGTGCAGTTTGTTCTCCAGGGAAGAGCAGGCAGCAGCAAGCGGGCTGCTCTGCTCCCGATGCCTTGAATTATAACCAAAAAAAGTAGGCTGATGCTTCAAATCCAGTTTGACTTCAGCTCCTCCTCCTAAAAGTGTTACCAAGCAACGAGGCACCATAAAGCTGAGCCACATCCACCTTCCTAAATCTGCTGCAGCAGTTGTCAGAGTTTTGGTAGTCCCTCCCTCAACATCTGGGAGCAGGCACTTCCCCTCGACCCCCGCTTTTAGCCTCAAACACACCACAGTTTTTTTGCTTTGGAGACAATACAAAGGCCACACGGTCCTTGAGAGGCCACAGAGGAGGAATGGAGCTGTGGAAGAATGGCTGAATATCTTTGCTCCAGATTCCATGACTTTGGCTGATTTTGCTAAGTTGTGCTGCGAAAGGTTGGCAGGAGGCTCAGGGAGGGAAGCAGCCCCAACCCTGCTACCCGCAGCCTTGTCTCTCCTCTTTTGGGGTGCAGAGGCACCCTGAAAGGGGGACAGCCCCCTCCTCTCCCCGCCAAGCAGATGGGCTCTACGCACGGCTGCTGAAGAAGCGCCCATACATTCACCGGGAGGCTGCTGCGAGCAGACAGCGCGGCGCGAAGGGACGTGCGAAACAGGAAGGGGCGAGAGAAGGAGGTGTGACGGGGAAAGGAGCGTGAGAAGGGCACAAAAAAGCAGGGTGCTGCTGAGGGGAGCACGGGGTGCTGGGAACAGCAAGGGGTGGGAAGCCTGCAGCCATAGGAGGAGGTGGCAGGCAGGGTCAGGTAAGGCAGCAGCAAAGGTCCAGCTTGTTTGGCCTGTCTCAGGGAGATGCACAAGTCTCCGCGTCTTTACTGGGGGGAAGCTGGCTGGTAGCCCCTCAGAGGACCCCCCGCCCCGAGAGGGGAAGGTGCAGGAGAGTGTCGCAGCACGACCCACTCCCCATGCTGTCGGCTCTAGGGGCAAAGCTGCAGCACCACGAGCGAGTTGGCTGCTCGAGCTGAGCTGTAGCAGCCGCCTTCCCACTCAGGCTCTGTTCCCATGCCTGCTGCAGAACTGGGGCGACAGAAACCATTATGGTTGCTATAAAAAAAAAAAAAAGAAAAAAATTCATTCTCCTCTGCAGGCAGAGAAACCCATGAGTTTGGGAGCGATACCGCATCTTCCCCACCTCCAGGAATGGGCAGCAATATTTACACATTTTCTCACTTGTGAACTATTTAATCAAGGTAAGGCAATCCCAGAACAAGCCCTCTTCTGAGCCCGCAGGAAATTACCCAGCGCTGATAGGAAGGGGAAAGCAGGCTGGTGAGATGCCAGCATTCAAAGGCTGGCGGCAGGAAAGGATTAAAACACTAGATTACAGGATTCCCTCTGGGGACACATGTTACTATGATAACTCATTCCCTGACCATCAGCCAATCTCCCTGCCCTGCGAGTTTAAAGCACGCAGATCGCTAGCTCAGTCCTGCTCTCGGCACACTAATAGAGACAGACCAGTTGGCTGCTGAGGGAGGGAGCAAAGTATTTGCCAGCGAGCACAGAACAGAAACCTCCAAAACCAGATCAAAACCAGGGGGCTGAGAGAAGTCTTAATACGAAACATACAGGCCTGGAAGAATCTTCGTCCTTCAACTAAACCTAAGCTTCCTCTGTTTGGGATTCACAATTTCATAGGGTCAAAACTGGAGGGGTTTCACTTAACAAAGAACAAATGAGCAGGCGTGTTTACTGTTACATTCATATATATGCTATCACACAACAGCAGCAGATAGGTGAAGCAAAGGATGCTTATCATGCAGCGTTAGAAGGGAAATAAATGATAAAAATTATTGCGGAAACATACAATAAAGCGATACACATGCTTAGGCGGGATGCTGGCTGTTGTCTTTTTTCCCCCTCACACTTCCCTCCTCGAGGGTATACGGGGACATCTTGGAAGGCTATCCATATCCCCACCTACATTTCTGCTTTTTCCTATTTCTGAATCCTTCCTCCCTGTGGGCCTGAACCATCTCAGGTCCCCTGGCACCCTGAAGTACGCCTACAGGAACCGATCGAGTGGTTTTCGGGGCAGCTGAGGGCCAGGTATAAAACTGCAGAGGGGATGCAGAGAGAAGGGTGGTTCATACTCACCGGTCTGTAGGGTCTGCCTCCCCCCTGAGAGCACTCCCAGGGGCAGTGTACCTGTGGGAGTCAGGCCTTTGAGAGTCAGCACGCTCTCACTCTCCTCTCTGCAAGTAAGAGGCAACGCAACCAGTTACCGCGAGGTTAACGCAATGCTCGGTTAGATCCACGCAAGACTAGCAGCGGTGAGCGGCATAAAAACTGGAGCCTGCCCTGCGCTGACCACAGGCAGCGCGCGTCTGATCTGCCGGGCACCGAGCACAACCCTGCCCCGTAAACGCAGGACCTCTGCTTACTCAGCCATGACGCACCGAGCTACGGCACGGCAAACGCAGCCTGAAAGGGCTACATATACCTCAGTAGCAGCATTTCTGTTGGCAAAAGTGCCGGTGCTGGAGATGAAGGTTTCTGAGAGTCAGACCACCAGGAACACAGAAACCACCACCTCGAGCCTTTGCCATCTACTCTGAAGTAGTCTCTAAGATTTTTTCCCCAGCAGGACTCTGCATGCCTGGTGCACCCTGACCAACATCCCCCAATACCCAGACCCCAAACAAAATTCAGACCCCAAATCACAAGCTGCTTCCTTACCGAAGAACCGAGAAGACACGTGCCATCTTCCCAATGGCTCTAATCTTATTCCTGATGATCTCTTTACGGACTGTTGTCCCACCTTAGGGAGAGAAAAAACAAACGCCAGCATGTTTAAGGTTTCCTGCTTTCCAGGCACAGGTAATGTCAGTATGAAGCACCTGCCTGACTCCAGGAAAAGAAATCATGGTTTACAGATTCACAGCTACACTCTTGAGAGAACAGTGCTGAGAGGATGGCGGTCAGGATGGCGGTGAGAAGGGCAACACCAACGAGATGACACACGGACTTAAAGGTCTAAAGAGAGTAGAACCACCAAAGGAAACGGATCGGATAGGTCTTGTTCGAAGCTCACCAGGTTTGATCACACTACACAGGATGTAACACAAATGACTCAGCCATGTAGACACAGTTTTGCAAGGCAGAACACTGACGAATCTGACTGCTGATGAACACTGCAGAACACCGGGCTGTGCTCGCCGCGGGGAGGAGTGTCACGCAAGCATCAGCTTTGGCATCCAACGCACACAGTGAACGGCTGGCCGGAGCCTTGCAACTCTGCTTCGACCCCGCACAAACACAAAGTGAGATATGTGAACTCCCCTTCCGCTATACAGACCGAACATGAGAGAAAAGCATGGAGGGTAACTGAAAACAAACAAAAATTAAAGTAAAAGAGGTAACAAATACATCTCCTCTCAGCTGAGATTCCTCACATGGCCCAACTACACATTAGGACAGTACAAGCCAAACCGGAGGTCTAACATGCACCGATGGCTCAGCCATGCACTAAGTGGCTGCATTCAGAAGTCAGATAGAAACGTGACCCCGTTTCTCAAGTTCCTGGAGGAACGCAGAAGGGTTAAAAAACACACGGCGCTTATGTTAAAACTGAAAGGGGATGAAGAGACTGCCCAACTAGTCAGCTATTCAAATCCACTCCAAGGAATCTGGTGGCACAGGCAGTGAAAATTAAGCTTGTAGCAAATTCTAGCTGGGTACCTTTCTGATAGCTTGAAATGTAGTGATCTTCAGGGAGAGGAGACACCAAGAAACAAGTAGATGAAGACAGAGATAGAAGAAACAAATTTAATTTTCATGGGAGGGAGAAAGAAAAAAAAACAAAAACGAAATGCAATGGGAGAAGCGGGTTAAGGTCTCAACCTGTCGACCGAACCAGCAGCACCTTGTTGTACCACAATGGTGTTCTGCTTCTCTGAGGGACCGACTGTCCTCCACCCTACATGGATGTGTACAGGCAGCTCCCCCGGACCCCCACGATGCCCCCCCGTGCATGCTGACGGCCCCACTTCTCACTGCATGCCCCACGTCTGCGCCTGAGCTTCCTCTAGGTCACCACCTCGCTCTCAATCCCCCCCATACAGAAACTGCAGCTGAGCTCAGCAACTGTTTTGTCCCTTTCATATGTAGCTTAAAATGAGGGCCAAAAACTGCATTCTCCTTTTTTTGGGCTGACACAAGAAGCCACTTTACAGAGGAGTTCACTGCAACAGATGAGAAGACTGGGTAGGTATTTTGGTACAGAAAATTTTGAATTGGGGGAAAAAATAACCACTTGGGAAGCAATCTCTGTAAGGAGCAGGAAACCGTTCTCCAGAGTAGCTGGCAAGAAGCGTCTGTCGCAGTGAATATAATTTAATTTCTCTGTGACTGAGTAGCAAAGGGGAAAAAAAAAAAAAAAAAGAGAAGTTTCCTACCCAGAACTGCACAAGTATTGGCCAAAAAGGAACTGGAGACCCTGGCTGGGCATCCAGCTATAAATCAAATGCTGATCACTCTTGAGCTAGCATCATACACCTTCCCCACTTTCAGCCCCCCACTGTTACCAGCTCGGTCGTAACAGCTTTTTTTACCTTCCAATGTCTCATCACCATCTGAAATCAACTCATCATCGGAGCATATGTTGAGGATGTTAACGAGCATTTCTGTGACTGTAAGAAGTACAGACAGGAAGATTAGAGAGGCCTGGTGCGCACGCTTGGCAGACAGAGGTATTTGGAGGACGAGCTGGACTAGCAAACGATTTCAAGGTCATTTATACTCTAGAAGTGGAAGCCCAAAGACACTTTTAGCTGCATACTGCTGGTACCTCGCAGCAGTACCCAGAGCAGACGACATACTTTACACCTTCTGCCAAGGAGGTGGATGCAGTCCAAGCACATCACAGATGAAGCAGACGTGGGGAGTGGGGTGCCAACATTCATGCAGAACAGCCTGGGCTTGCTCAAGGTCCCCCTTCCCCACCCCGACCGGCACAACAGGCCACCTGGCTCCAAGAATGTCAAATCTGGGGGGGAATTCAACCTTTGATTCCTCAAAGTCAAAAAACCTTTGGCACTTCGGACCTTGAAGTCATACTCCAAACATACAACACCGGGGTGGAATTTAAACTCACCGGGAGATGTAGAAACCCTTTTGCTGAGAAACTGAGGCAAAGTCTTGGTCATATTTTAAGCTGCCTTGCCTCCTCCAGAATGAAATAAGCCTTTAAATTGAAGTGAATGCTTTCTTTTTGGTGGGCCACAGGCCAACAGGAGATTTTAATTTCTCTGCTGCAAACCCAGAGCAAGAGAAACGTCTCCAGATTCTGAGGTGGGGCTACACCACCCAAGATCAGCTCCATCAGCAATGCAGAAATAGCAAGAAAGGATCGTTTTATTGGTAAAAGTTTCCTATAACCAGTATCAACAATTATTTTCACAAGAACTTTACCCAGTAATATGCAGATCTCCTTGAACCTGAACTGTTTTCCAGTTAATGAGTTACAACACTCTCCCAACACATTTAATAGCCTGTGGGACAGGTTTCTAACACTCAGGGTACTATGACCAGCCACTGGGCAACTCCTAACAGAAATCCAAATCTCTCTTACCCTTTTCCCCTACAAAAGGCAAAGACCATGTGAAGACATCCATGAAGTTTGGAAGCCAGTACGGATGAGGGGAACAGTTGAACTGCCTGATGTTCATGACATTGTTTTCATATTTCAGTACAGCAGCTAAGGAGAGAAAAAGGAAAGACCACACATGTCCATAGGCACTGTCAACTTCTGGGCGTTGTACCTGCGCTAGTGAAACTTCATCATCAACAAGAGGTTGCACTCATGCAGAATCAAACTACCAGCTCTCAAAATGAGAGGGCTTAAGCACTGTTCAGTTTACCCATCACATTGTTTCACTAAAGCTTATCGTAATAGTGAAGGTCAATTTAACGAAGCTGTTTAAATTTATGCAAATCAGAAGCGATGAACACAGAGCAAAGATCCAAAGCAAGGGGTAAAAAAACCCCCAGAGCTGAGGGAAAGTTCCCCGTCGTACTCATATGGTTTTAGGGGCACAGTGAAGTTAAAAACTTGCCTATACTAGCAGCTTCTCTTTTATGGCAGCATTCATCAGTAGCGCTCAGTTGTCATGTGGCTGGAAATGAAACCATTATTCTGGGCTTTATAACTTGACAGCTAATTGCCACAGTAATACATTAAGTCTTCGAGTCAGAGCACCCAGCCACTTCCAGCTCCCCAGCTGCCGTCAGTTTAACATATAAAGCTCTTTTTCATTTCGTGCATAAGAATGCAACTAGAGGAGAGAGCAGAGTGGGCAAGGCAGGGGAAGATGGAGAGGGATTTCCTAAGCATGTGAAGACGGTACTGACATCCAAACAGCAGCAGAGCCCTGGCCGTGCCAGCCTTACCCTTGTTGTTATAGACATCTAGGTAATTTGGTGCAGAGAAGATTGTGATTAATGATGGAAAGCCTGTTGTCTGGCTCTTCCTGTACATTCGGTACCTGAAAAACAAGTCAAGTGTTAAACATACTGGTTTTGCTAAGGATAGCATGAACGCAGGGGGAGCCTGCTCAGCTACCAGGCTGCAGATCTTACCCAGCATCCTGGGCTTCGTGAGCTCGGATTACAGATAACAAACTATTGTTCTGCAAAAATTCACAAACTGCAGGATAACTGGAAAAGAAAAAGCAAGTATACGTTAGCATGTAGCACAGAGGAACAGACAGCACCCATGGTCTTGGTTTCAGGAACAAGCCACTTGCAGCATCCATTCAGTTTGTGTCCAGCATCCCCAAACAAGGCCAGTATGTATTACATCATTCAAAAATTAATTGCAAAGCATTCTGTTAAACAGACCCCTGGTGCCAAATCCTCCCTATCAGCCAGGCTACCAGTGGTCTGTCAGCACAAATGTTTCTCTTTTAGACAGGAAATCTGCTGTCCCGATACCACAATTTCATGGAGCAACATATCCAAAGAGAGCTCAATGTTATAGGAGGAGAAAACAAACAAGATTTTATGCATTAGAGCCAACTGAAGACTATTCCAGAGCCAGGTACACTGTAAATACCCAGAGAGTGATCTGAATAGCAATTTATCTCCCTATACACCTCAGTGTAAGCGGAGACAAAAAGCTCTAGTCCATCAGAGCCCCCTAAACCACCACTTACCTGTAGAAATAGGAGCAGCCTCGAACAGTGTTGTGGGCAAAATGCTCCAGCGTTTTCTCATTGCCGTAATCCTCTGATGGATCGGACCAGAGCAGGTCACACATTGGACCAAAGGCTGGAGGCTCCTTAAACCTGTCTAACTGAAAAACATACACAAAATCAGGACAATGCTGGTGAAAGCTGCAGCTGCATACACACACCTATAGTGTGGACATGCAGAGCACAGGAGCCTCAACCTGGACCTCCATGCAGGAATTAAGCAAGCCATTAACCACACTGTTAATTGTAAGCTATGTGAAAGGACCACGGAGATTACTTACTTTCCTAATGTCATCTAGACACGTGATTTCTGGAGACAGTCCTCCATGAACACACAGGAATTGCTGGTTTAAGAGGGCAGCAAGAGGAAGACAGTCAAATGTATCCATACATGCATCATACACTCGCTCCGAATACTTGATTCGACCTGTAAAGATGGGGAACAGGGGGAGGAAGAGAGGGAAGAATTAAATTCATTTACACAACAAAGACTGCTCAGGCTGAAAGCAGAGTGCTTTTTTTTTTTTTAATCTTTTCTTTTTCTTTTTAAGGGGGGAATTATTCACACATCCAAACCTACATGATATAAGAAGCATTAAGCAAACCTTTGATCAGCCAAAGTGCTGATAAATAAGCTCAAGGAACCTACCTCCTAAACTAGGAAACTCTATGTCTACAGCCCACCAAGTCAAACTTTGCACCCCTGACTCGTGAAGATGCTGACTTAGAAAACGCTCATTGGACATGACAATAAAAAGGCTTCACAGTAATCTGGACATGGTCGAGAATATTAATCTCCCTTCAAGTTATTTTCTAGAACACCTGCGCTAAGATTAACATAGCAGAGAGGCTAGGTGCTTGCCACTGTAATAGAAAACTCGGGACACTAATGAAGCCACCCCATCACTTTCCTACACTCGAACTGCACCTCTAGTCTCAAAGAGTCTTACCAGCCTCAGCTGCTAGGCAGATTATACACTAGCAAATGCAGCAGCTGTTTAATTTGGCACAGCAATGTTACACAATCATTTAAGATAGGAATTGCCTTTTCGGCTGGACACAAGAGTCAGAATTCGACCAAGATGCCTGCAGTTAAATGAATCTTCACACAGGATCTTTCAGGGCTACAAGTGATCACAACCTCCGCTGGATGCCTCACCTTAACAGAGCTGAAGAGGCTGCTTCAATACATTAAACAGAGCTACCATAGCCTTTCTGAAAGCAGCTTAGCTTTTACAGCAAGCCTCCAAGTGTGTTCAGAAATATCTCTTAACGCTTCCCGTTAGAACAGAGAGCAGGAGCAGAGATCACCGCACGTCAAGCACGTGTCTTCTTGCATCTGCAGCCCCTTTGCAGGGCAGCAATATGTTCACATAGGCAGATCTTTGAGAAAGCCCCGTTACTGCTATAAAACGCATCTCTCTCTGTTCATGCACTCTTTTTGCTTTAGAAAGTTTCCCTTTCCTCCAGCTTTATTTCACAGGTTTTTTACAGCTGCACGCTATGATACAGTGGAAAGGTAGTATCTTCTGTTTTCCAAAGGGGAAAAAAAACCATCACCTCTGGCGCTCTGGTTCAAATTGAGCCCAGCTCAACAGGAGCTCATCTATCACCAGCTGATGACTACAGCATCCAGCAGAGCGCTGGCTGGTGTTTTCCAACTCATTTCTGAGTAAACAGATGTCGTTATCTTGGTACCCATCAGCCCTACCCTGGCCAGCAGCATCCAGAGCTGAAGGGCTAAAGACTGGACGCGTGCCTTGCCCACAACTATCTCTTGAGGTCAGGTCCTTGAGCAACTATTCCCCAATAGAGCGCTGGATGTTGCTGGCGTATACCTTTTTTATTGCTTGGAGGAATGACTGTCATTCTCAGGAGAGAGGGGTCATTCCCTGACCTTTCATCATCGTTGGTTTAAAAATATGTAAATACTGCATGAAACTATCTTTAACTCAACTAAAATGATCTTAAAGGTAATGATTCTCCCTAGTGCAAACACTGAGGAAGAAATCCTTTATTTGCTTCCAATTGTAATCACTGATCCCAGCTGCACAATCTGGAGCTGAAAGACATTTGGCAGTAATTATATGTTGCTGGGCCTGAAAGTCAGGAAGGGGGGGGTGCGTGCAACTGGCTCATCAGCAAGACAGGGAAGATGTGTTCGCATTTCTTCCATCCACGCTCATTCTTCATAACCAGAAGGCCACATCAACATGCTCTCGGTACTTCACAGGTTTTATATTTTATTTTTTTAATTTTTTTTTTTTTTTTTTAGCAGGAGCTGAAATAGGAGAAGAGCTATGTATGCAGGAAAAAAAGACAATAGGTTTTTACAGCTCCAGAGTTAACAGATATCACCCATGGCAAGCACAAAAATTAAGACCCATGCCTGGTCACAACACATTAATATCCTTAAATCCTTACACTGCTGATAGAAGTATTCTGTGAGGTGCCTGCACTCATGGTTCCCTCGAAGGAGGAACAATGTTTTGGGATGATTTATCTTTAAACTCCATAAATACAGCACGCACTGCAAGAAAGGGAAGGAGGAGATGGCATGTAATAAAAACCTTTTATAGGGCACTAATCATCCGTAGACTTCGCTAAGTGTTTCTGGGAAGACACCCAACAAGCTGAATTCAAAGTGGAACCCTGATAGAAACCCAGCTCCATAATCGGCAGCAGATCTTATCTTGGCCAACTTCACCAGTGGGGGAAAGCCACACTGAGCATTTCTCTATATTAGGCCTGAGTTGGAGAAGTGACAAATGAGATCGCATTCGACTGAAACCAGCTCTGGGCTGGGTGGGGGCAGCTTTTCCTTCCAGCAGAAACCAAAGCAAAAAGCACCCATTTTCAGAGCAGCAAAGCAAAACCAGCTGCACAGCGAGATGTGCGCTCCAGATGTCCCACTGCAATCGAAACCAGAGACCGTCAAGTATAACAGCCAGCCATCTTGCTAGACATTTTATCAAGTGCATTAAGCATTAGAAAAATTAAGCTTCATTTTCCCCACTGACTTTCCCCCTGCTCTGTTTTTCCGCTTACGCTACAGTCATGTGAAGTTCAAGTTCAAAACAGGAAAAGCCTAGCCAAAAAACAAGTTTAGTAAAGCCTTCTGGCTTTGAAGAGGGCTTTCCACATCCCCTGTCTGAGCAGCAACACCTGTAAAAAGATCATTGATGAGGCACAGACCAAAGTCAAACTGAAACAATTATTTTTACCAGAATCCCAGAAATATTTCATCATGGTGGCTTTCCAAAAAGCCTACCTGAAGAAGGGAAGGGCTGGAAAACAAGCGTGCTTACCCTTCTGTGCTACACCCTGTCTAGCTGACAGCTAAATCAGCTGGTATCTAGCATAGATGATTTTGATTTTGAGTGCTGGAAGGACAACCCATAACGACAGCAAGCTTGAAGATCTGGATTAAAGTCTCTAATAAGAGCTTACCCTTTAGGCTGACACGCTACAGAAACGGCACACACTTTGAGAACATGAACCATGAAGTCTCTCAACAGTTTTACACTTAAAAACATTGCTGATCTGGTGCACAGATCTCTGGGAACCAGCTGCTGTGGCATAGAAACAACCTCCAGAACCAAAATAAACCAGTTTCAAGTTAGGCTCCAGTACAGACACCTTAGAAGTCACGGTATTTAAGCACTGAACCTGCAAGGTAAGCTCTGCATTAGTCATTCCAGCTGCATGCAGGGATCCCTCAAACCTCAAGTAGCTGTAAAGCACTCGTCCATGTCTAACTCAGAATTCAACCCCACAGAAGAAGACTGGATAGCAAATTCTGAGTTTTAGAATGGAAGAGAAACAGGGCCAGTGGCAGGTAATTTAAGCTGTGGTTAAAGCTAGCAAAAATAATGTTTTAGTACATCTGTTATCAGGAGGAATGTTCCCAACAAAACCATTTATAATTATTCTGCGATTTAAAGCTTTAAAGTCCTCCTGTGTTTGCAACCTAAATGTCACTTTTCTGGGCTAGCATGAGAACTGAAAAGTGAAAGTCACTATAAAGGAACCAAGCGACTTGCTAAGGACAGGAGAAAGCAGCCAGCCCTGGCAGCACTGGTTCAAAGCAAAGTGAGAGGGACACACAATCAATAAAGAGGAGGATTTTGCATGTATAGAAGGTCAGCAACTTGCAGAAGAGATCTTTAAAAATACATTCGAAGTGTTTTAAAGTGAAATGGAAGCAAGCAAACCACAGACATCGAGAGCAAACGTCTCTGGGAGCTGGTTTGTAGCTATTTCACAAGGACGTGGGGGCTGCCAGGTACTAGTGGTGTAACGATGAGTAAAGGACATTCAACAGCCCTCGTGAGCTCCGGAGGAGCTGGAAGGAGGAACAAGGGAGGTTTCTACACTCGCATGCCTCGGATGCTTCCTGGCGTTTCGTACAGATCCCTTTCCCAGACTTTCAAGGCACTGTGCCCAGGAATTGATTACTGCGTGTTTACAATAGCCTAGTAGCAACTCGAGACAATTATGGCTTACTAGGCTTAAATAATCTACTTCTCTCCTTACTCTGCCTATGGGCTTGCAGCCCAAAGCCAAGCGGTCATGCCCGTGCCCCCATTTGATTTCCCCCCCCTTTCACTCACAAGGGGAAAGCTCAGCGGGTCACGGCGGGGGAGCTGCAGGAGGAATTGCTACCTGCAACCCAAGGCAAAGGCAAGAGGGACTGCTGCTGCACACAACAAGCCACCCTGTCACCTCTCCCACCATTTATAAAACCAGACACTTATGAGGAAGTTATAAACATCAAGCCTGCCAGCTCTTCCCAGAGTAGGCGCAGAAGAAACAGCACCGTAAAACTCCCGCATCCCAGTCCTGTGTTTGGCCCCGAATCTACCTTCGCTCGCACCTTGCAACGTTGACTGGATCTCTTTAACATTAGTCTGGATAAAACAGTGTATTCCATCCTGGCAACATCACCGTATATGCAATTTCGTAATTAGACGACGATCATGTGTCCCATTGTAATTAGATCTGAAAAACTAGTCTGGCAAAGGTATATGCCATTATCACACCATCTTTACTGATAAATCTACTCTCTCCACAGATTCTATTTTTGGTCAAAATAACTGTTTCACTTTATAATTTAAGAAAACAATTCTATTCCAGCAGTTTTGGCTTCACAGACCAGGATGGTCCCTCATTGACTAACACGGGCACAAACCTCTCTTGTGTAAGGACTAGGAGATGGAACTAAAAGCTTAAAGCACTTTGAAGGAAGCATCTTTCCCACTTGCAGACCAACAAGGGAATCCTTCATCAGAATGCTGTGTCATCAGCACTCCAAACGGAGGTGTTCAGCCCGATTTCCGCGCTGCCCATCAGCCCCTTCACTACAACATTTGAGTTAGCCTCGCTGCCGCAGCGGGCTTTGTGGCAAGGACTGAAAGCAAACGCTTTGCAGCATCCTCCTCCACTAGACATCAGCCCTCTCAGCTTTCACACGACTGCTTTCCTCCCCTCTCCTCCCGCCCTTTTTCTTTAAAAAAAAACCAAGACACCCAAAAAGCAAACCCAACCAAACCACGCTTCATGGCCTCATTATACTAACTAGGAATGAAAGTTTTTAAATGAGAATTTCCCTAAGCCAGAGGCCCAGAAATAATTTGATGAAGACATCCAGCTGAGCTGATGAACAGGGGCTTTTGGGGTTTTTAAAGGTTTTGTCTGAGCCACAAACTGCTCCTTTTACCTTGACAACCAAATACGCACAGCAATGGAAAGCCTGCAAGGGTTATTTGGGCTGCTAATAAGCAACGTGGTTTGCCTTAACACCTCCTTGGCCCCCAGTTTTGCATCTTGTTTCCTGATTGCCTGCATCAGGATGCAATTATACAATTACCTCCTATTTCATGCAGTTAAAAGGTCATGATTATCAGCTGCTCTGGGCAGGCATTCGATAATATCCCCACCCAGCACACAGATGCACAAGTTTGTGCGGTGACTCATGAAAACCTGATGATGCTGGTGCTCTCCACCTTCCCAGCAGGGAAGGCACAGGGAAACCTGGATGCCTTTCCATCACCTCAGCCTCTGGGATAAAGTGATCAAAACTCCAAACCCGAAATGTTCACAGATCGGCTGTCTCTGCACTTCAGAGGCCAGCTGCTACAGCTTTGCATTTTAGAGAAATCTGTAAAAAAAATACAATGCAAAGACAACCATTGGGCCCTGTTAACTCTTTGCGTGTAGCAATCCTCCATGCCAGCAGCAAACCTCCTGTTGTTTCACTATAGAAACCAGTTTCTGCACACCCAGGTGGGAATCTCTTAAAACACATCGGCTGCACTTTGCAGTAGGTGGGAAGAAGAGGCACACATCAATAGGAACAAGGGAATCAAGCCTTCTAGATTCTACTTTATTAGTGACATTTGGATCAGCCCCCGCATGTACTAATCAAAGCCCACCCTGATTCGTGAAAGATCAATGCTAGCTCTGTGGGGTAACGGAGTGCTCGGTGGCCCTCCCTCCACAAACGCGGGGCGAAAGGGAAAGGATGAGGGTCAAGAGCAGCACAAAATGAGAACTTTGTGCTCAAACCTTGCAAAGACTGACAGCCCCAAGGCTTTCGAGCCTGGAAACACCAGGATGCCTTGCATAGGCCCTGGGTCGGAGTGGCATGCCACAACAGTGACCATTTTCAGATCTTCCTCCTCAAAAAAAACCCCAAAACACCTCTACCCACCAACTCTGTTCTCCAAGGCGGACCCATCATCTGGAATTCTTCCATACTGTCACAGCATGGAGAGACAAGGGCACTGATCCCCAACTCTGGCATTCACTTCTGCAGATCTGGGAGTAAAATCCCCATGTCAGATCAATCACAGGGTAAGAGCAAAAAGTGGGAGAAGCATTTCACCACTCAGGAGCTGTAAAGTTTGTCCATAGACACAGGGTATGACAACTCTCGTTTGAAGGTTTTTTGGTTAATATAAAAAAAAAACAAAACCCCCAAATCTTACCTCAGAAAGAGTTGTCGTGCTCTAATACAATCTCTTTTCCAGGTAAATATACTGCAAACCCTATTTGCGCAAGCCCAGCCATTTAAACAAGCGGTCAGATGCCTGTTCTCGTTCTCTTCCTCTTCCTCCCCAGGGGTTACGGGGCTCCTCCTGCCAGCAGCACCAGAAATCCCAATAGCCGCAACCCCACCTTTCGAGCATCCGTCCCCACTACCCCGGAAACTGCTCATCGTCACACCTTGGCTCACCGTCAGTATTTAGGAACACACGGAGCGCAAGGCTGGAAGTAAGCCAGAACGCTGCTAAAGCACAAGCTGTCGGTGGTACCCTCCTAAATCCTCTGCAGAATCCTTCAAAGAAGCACTTGCATTCATCGCCTTCATCGCTGTCCGTGAGAGTTCCTCCCCAGAATTTAACTGAGAAAGACTCTGCTGCAGACCCAACAGCTCAGCTATTCCTGCACTGGGGTATGCACCCTCCCTCTTCGAAAAGAAACCACTTACTCTGTTATTCCAGGCCAGTTTTGCCACCTCTCACGTCCCTGTTTCCCCAAACAACCCCCGCTACGTTGCCTGTGTCGGGAATAAGCACTCCTTCTCCACCCAGCTCTGCCTGTGAAACCAGAAGGCAGCAATCCCTTGGGGTTTGCCGCATTTGCTAACAGCTCTCCCATCCCGCCTGCTCTGTTGCTCACGGATCTTCAGTGAGCCAGCAGCAACCATGGGGACCCATCGATTACTTTGCCCTTTAAGACCAACAATTCGCAGTGTTACCCGATACTCGGTCAGTGGCAACCCAGCCAGCTGCAAAATCCTAACACGACGCCACACATTTGGCTGGTGTCTGTAAGGTAATGGCCTCACTGTGGCAAGGCAAATCATCACACGGGCACAGCACGGCCAGATACACAACTAAATGCCTCGGCACTAAGCTCCTGGGTCACAGCGAGATGTACAACAGCCCAGGTGATTTACTGCTCCTTTCTCCTGCCCCTGCCTCTGGCATTGCAAGGTCGATGCTTTCAGGGCGACGGTAGGGAAGCGGTGACTCAGTACTGTAGTGCTTTCTTTTCCCTGCTAAGCTGAATCCTGCAAGTTTTTAAACATTTGCTTCCCACTGCCTGGCAGGATCCTGTTGCCTGCAACATACAATCAACTCTCCCTCTTGCTCCTCTGACTGACAGCTACAAGTGATATTAAAACTTCGAGTTCAGAAGCCAGAGTTTAGTCATTAACCCCAGCGCTGCTGTTTAACTCTGTCATTGGGTGAGGATCCAGTTCAAAATCATAGCATTTGGACATTGCTTTTCTGCCAAAATCATAACTGTAAGTTACCTACAATGCGATTTTCGTTCCATGCAAAACTCGACTAGAGTGTAAAATCCAGCAGAAGAGATTTGTATTTGCTAGCTCAGTTCCACACATGCCGTTAGCTTAGTACTAGCAGCCCCAGGCTCAACTTTATTTGTCACCTCTATACTGAAGTAGCCTCTGTCCACGTAGTCTCCCAGGAAGAGGTAGCGGGTGTTATTGGGTGATCCTCCAACTTCAAACAACTTCATCAGGTCAAAAAACTGCCCATGAATGTCACCGCACACTAGGGGAGGAAGAACAGCACAAAAGAGGGACAGAATTACATGCTAAGAAAAGAAAGGTCATGACAGCAACAAGGAGCACAGCACGGCTGTGATCTGACCCAAGCCACCTCTGCTTTGCATCCAGCTTCTGCAAAGAGGTACTCGATCTACACCAGCAAAATCCTCTCTTCTGAGAGTTCAGGCAATTTAAAAAACCTTGCTGATGGAAGGATCACAGCAGAAAACCTGCTACTTTGCGCAGTTCGTGTTTCCTAGATGGCCCTTATGTAGGACTCCAGCTGCAGAAAGCTTTCTGACCTGTGATCGGAGCCTCCACTTCAATCATTGTCTTCTCATGCCTAAGGATGGCAGCCCCATCGTTGATGATCTTCAGTGCCGCATCCTCTTCCAGGCGCCCTTCCTTTACCAAGTGGCTCTTCAAGACATCAAGCCTAGGCTTCCCATCCTCAAACACCTCCTTCAGAGTGAGCCGCTGCGTGGGAGGAAATGGGACAGCTGGAAATGGAAGTAAAGAAGTTAGCAACACGTCTCTTTTTGGAGGGAGGGAAAAGAATTACAGTCTTTTCAGCA